TCTTCACCCCCCCCCCGCTGGCTGGGGAAGGGAACGGGAGGCTTTTGAAGATGCCTCCCCCCCTTTTGCTTCTTCTTCCGACATCACTTCCAGTGATGTCAGGGGGCGTTGCATATGCTAATGAGCTGTTATGCTAATAGCCCAGTAGTTCATTAGCATATCATATGCTAATGAGCTCCTGCAGCTCTTTTTCTAGGAAAAGACCCCTGCATATAAGAATTATTCTGTGTATGTAATCCAATCTAGTTACAATGGGTACAAGCCTCCTGTTTGTTTCATGTTAGTCTGTCTTGTAGATTCTCATGTCTGTTTGTTTTTCTTTCTCTGTAGAAAATTAATAAAACCTATTTTTTAAAAAGAAAATATGAAAAGTCTTAATAAATTGCTGTAACTATATTCAATTGTCTTCCTTGAATGTATTTTTCAGGCCCTACTATTCCTATTTCCCGTTTTCTTTGGGGCCTCGTTCCTGCATTGGGCAGATATTTGCACAGGTAAGATGGTGGCCATTGCTGGAAGTGGGGGACTGTGAGATGTTTGCTTATTCAGAGCATGTCTGTGGTTCAGAGGGGCAGTAGAGGCAGCAAGGCTATAGAGGTAGCAAGGTCCGTTTCTGTATTCTTTGCTCTTGTCTGTTCTGCTGCTGTCTCCTTATTACCTAGAATGCTGTTCTTAGGGGTTCCGTCCTTCCTGCTCACTCCTTCTCTTCCAGCTTCTCTCTTGAACCGATATTTGGGCCGGGCGTGCTCTGTTTCTCTTCAGTCTTTCTCCACCTACACCTAGATAGACAGCTAAAATTCTTTCTCTTACTTTCTCCTCTTGGTATGATACTTTTCCTGTGTCCTTCACAATAAAGGGCTTCTATTTCTTTTCTCAAAGCAATAAGCCTAGTGTGGACTTTATTCTCAAAGCAGCAGCATACCCCTTCTGTTGTGTGTCCATCGGCCCAACAACCATTAGGGTTGCTCAATCTTCCCTGAAGGCGGTCACTGCCCTTTTGAAAGCCTAGGACATTTTGAAGGGCGGGCAGCTGTTGCATCTCCCATTCTGCTGGTCTCTTTGCCAGAACTGTCCATCACTCTCTCCTGCTTTTAGTAGAAGGAGATATAGCGGTGGAAAGCACTGCTGAAGCAGCAGGGCAAGACAGACAGCCTCCTGTAAGATGCTTTGCAGCCTTTAGAAGAATAAGAAGAGACTGGATTTATACCCCGCCCTTCATTACCCAAAGGTGTCTCAGAGCGGCTTACAAACTCCTTTCCCTTCCCCTCCCCACAACAGACACCCTGTGAGGTAGGCGGGGCTGAGAGAGCTCTGACAGAAACTGCTCTTTTTCGAGAACAGCTGTGCCAGAGTTATGGCTTGCCCAAGGTCATCCAGCCAGGTGCAAGTGGAGGAGTGGGGAATCAAACCCGGTTCTCCCAGATTAGAGTCCACGCACTTAACCACTACACCAAACTGGCTCTCTCTTTAGCGGGAGTGCATTGCGTGGGTAGACACAGGGTTGCTGTTCTGTGCCATCCTGTGTCAAGAACTTCTCGGGTCAGCTCACTCTGCCAGTTTTGTTTGTTTGTTACAGATGGAGGTTAAAGTGGTGATGGCCAAATTTCTGCAGAGGTTTGAATTCCAGCTGGTTCCACCACAGAGCTTTAAAATCTTGGACACGGGGACCTTCAGGCCATTAGACGGCCTGGTCTGCAGACTGAAGCCACGCAACACTCTCGCTTTTGAAGATTATGCAGGACATTGATGATGGGGTAACCTCCGTTTGATTTTGGTATTGCTACTGGGCCATGGTGAAAGGCATTTCATAGACCCATCAAGAGCAGAGGTCCATCAGTGGCTATTAGCCACAAGGTATAGATAGGGACTCTGGGGCAAGTGATGCTCTGTCATCTTGGTGCTTGGGGGGTCAACAGTGGGAGGGCTTCTAATGTCCTGGCCCCACTGGTGGACCTCCTGATGGTACTGGTATTTCTGGCCACTGTGTGATATAGAGTGTTGGACTGGATGGGCCTTTGGCCTGATCCAACATTGGCATCTCTTATGTTCTTATGTTCTTATGATTGGAACTTCTCATTCTGGAGTTTGACCTAGGGTTTTACAGCCTGCCATATGCATTAAATGTTAAGGTAGTGCCATCTCAAGCATTCTTTTAAGTTCATTGAAAGTCAGTGGGCTTAGAAGGGTGTAAGTCAAATCAGGATTGTCCTGCCAACTGGAAAGGGTTGACATCATTGGAAGGGCTCGACAAAGGGGGTCCCGGCGATTCTGCAAAATTGAGTGTTGCTGGAAGACAACTCTGAGTTGTTGTTCAGAGATGCTAACTTTTCGTTTAGCACTGTATTAGAATGATCACAAGTGAGAACCCGCAAGGACTTGTGGGAGGCATCTCATTTCCTCCTCCCCCACTTTTTCCTCTTTCCCGACAGCCCCCATAGCCTTTCCCTTTTTCCTGCTGCCTTCTCTCCTTCTAGGGTTGCCAACCTGGAGACCTCTTGGAATCACAATGGTTCATCTTCCGTCTGCTCGTGCAGCCCCACATTGGGACTGCACTTGCACAGGCTGGCTGTGGGACATTTTTTTTTTAGCTTAAAACTCCGAAGAGGAGGCGCCCTGCCCCTTTTGGAGCCGATGCACGCACAGGATTCCTGCCCAGTGGGAAGAAATGTGCTTGCACATGAAAGCTTATACCTTGAATAAAACTTTGTTGCTTTTAGAATAAAACTTTGTTCTGCTGCTTCAGACCAACGCGGCTACCCGCCTGAATCCAACTTTCTCCTTTGTTATGCTCAACTGACCTAACCATGCTAATCTGTAGCCTCACCATTTGGACTAATGGTAAATGCTCTACATTGGACTGCCTTTGAAATCAGCCTGGAAATGACAGCTGGTTCTGAATGCAGCAGGCTCAGCTAATCTGGTATAGTGGTTAGGAACGCGGACTCTAATCTGGGAGAACCAGGTTTGATTCCCCACTCCTCCACATGCAGCTGCTGGTGTGACTTTGGGTCAGTCACAAGTTCTCTCAGAGCTGTTCTCTCAAGAGCAGTCCTTGGAAGAGCTCTCTCAGCCCCACCTACCTCCCAGGGTGTCTGTTGTGGGGAAGGGAAGGGAAAGGAGATTATAAGCAGCTCTGAGACTCCTTTGGGTAGTGAAGGGCAGGGTATAAATCAAGTCTCTCCTTTTTCTTCTTCTATTGTCAGAAGACACCCCGTGGAGACACATTGGTTGGCAGTTTGTTTCCAAGTTTCCAAGTTCAAATTAAGGCACTGGTTATCACATTGGTTGGCAGTTTGTTTCCAAGTTCAAATTAAGGCACTGGTTATAACCATTGAAGCTCTTCACAATTTAGGGCCTACATATTTGAATACCAGCTGTCCCCATATGTCTCTGTACATCAACTATACAGTCTTCAGGCTGCCACATTCTGGGTGTTCCCTGCATAAGGTAGCCTGCTTGACCGTGTACTAGAGCACTTTCCCTCTCTGGAGTGGCTCCTGCCTTGTGGAACAGGCTCCCTGAAGGGGAGGTGGGCTCCATCTTTAGAAGTTTGGAGGCACCATAAGGCTGTTTGATGTGCAAGGCCTTTCACGTGGACATTATATTAGCCTCGTTCTCCTAGAACAGCAGCAGGGAATTAAATCTCCAAGAGATCAGGACCATGGCAACCCAAAACAGCCCTTGGGGTGTCACATGCCTCAGTGGAGTAACACTCCCTGGGGCCATTTTGGGTGGGGAAAAGGCATAGTAGGAAGGGAGGGGGCTGTGGTTCAGCGGAAGAGCCTCTGCTTTGCATGCAGAAGGTCCCAGGTTTAATCCCTGGCATCTCCACTTAAAAAGGACCTGGCACGAGGTGATGTGAAAGAACTCTGTCGGAGACACCAGAGAGCCGCTTCCAGTCTAATAGACAATACTGACCTTGATGGATTGATAGTCTGGATTCATTACAAGGCAGCATATTGTGCGTTCATGTGTGAAGTATGAAAGCCCTTCCCTGGTTTCTGGGAGGAAAACTAAGTCCAGGTAACTCAAGATTCTGCCTTTATGTCTGAGAAGAATGAGAGTTGTTGGGAATTCCCCGACCCAATTTATTAAAACCTGTAACCTCTACTTTGGCCTTAATGGGGTTTTTCTTGTATGTTATGTTTTTAATCTTGAAATCATAAGCTGCATTGAGCCACAAGGGTAAAATCAAGTGTAGCTATTAATAAATAAATAGAGAATAAAGTTCTACATTGAGCTCTAGCCTGTGTTTAATCGCACCCAGCTTGGCTTTCCTTCGTCTACATCCTGGCCTACACTCCTGCTGCTTCATTGCCCGCAAAGTACATGTCAGTCTAGAAGGTTTTAGTCACACAGAAACAGTGGTGTCCACTGCCTGAGAGCGCCTTCTTCCAGAAAATGGCCAAGGCTTTGCAAATATTAACAGCCATTCCAACAGGAAGCTCACCAAAGGCCACCAGGAAGCCATGTGGAGTTTTTAGCTGTCAGGAGTGGAACATTCAAACTGGTCCTCTGCCTTGCAAGGAGGGACTGACTGTGGGGTTTCCCGGTGATCTGTATTAGGACCAATGATTGTTAGTTTCTTCCTAAATGATCTGGAATCGGGCTGAGCAGTAAAGCAGCAGATGATGCCAAATTATTCAGGATGGTGAAAACCAAAGCAGATCATGGAGAGTTCCATGAGGGTCTCTCCAGGACTGGGTGAGAGAATCAATGTGGCAAATAAGGTTCAGTGTAAGTAAATGTAAAGTGATGCACATATTGGGGCCAAAATGCTAATTTTAGGTATACACTGATTGGAATTGAAACTGTCATTGACTGACCAGGGGAGTGATCTTGGGGTCATGTTGGATATCTCAATGAAAATGTTGATTCGGTGTCTGGCAGCAGTGAAGTGTGACTTATGTGCTCAAAACCTTTAGGAAAGGGATCAAAAAGAAAAGAACCAGTGTCATAATGCCCATGTAAAGATCTCTGGTATGATCTCATTCTGGTCAGCCCTTCTCAAGATGGATATTGTGTAGACAAAAGAAGGGCAGAAAAGGGCAACCGAAATGATCAAGGAATGGAAACTTCTTCCCTACAAAGAGAAGCTAAAGGTTTGGGCTTTTCACTTAAAAACAAGCTGTCTAAAGAGAGGACATGACAGGAGTTTGGGAAGTTATGCATGGTGTGGAGGAAGAAAATAGGCCCTTTCCTAAAGAATGTGTGGGCTCCCAATGAAGTTGGTGGGGAGCAGATTTCAAGACAAAATAATTTACTTCCCCTGATGCACTTTCTTGTCATCAGGAAGGACTGCTGGGGAGGGGGGCAGAATGCAGGAAAGGTCTGGTCCTTGTGTTCATGGATGGCTGGATCCAAACTATGGTTTCAGATCTTTTTTTTTTTAGATTTTAAATTTAAAAATTTAGCTTGAGAAAATTTAGAATAGAAAGTTGCATAAAAATACATCTTACAGAAATAGTAAACAACAGAGGGAGCAACATCATTAAAACATAAACCTTTGAAATGTTCAAATAATCATGGTTTCAGATCTGCATTGATGCACTTACCATTGTTAGGAGAGTTGCCTGCATTTGGACAATCACACCAACTAGTTAGTTTAATTGAATCCTAATTTTGTTTTGTTTTTTGGCCCCCTGTAGGGGATTTTTTTAATTTGCATTTTCTAAAAACTACAACGAAATTTGGGAAGGGGTCTACAAACTATGGGAGAAAGTAAAGAAAACCCACTAAAAACCCAAGATATGGTGATCATACATAATGCTTATAAAGTTTGCTTTTTGCTTAAAATTCACTTAAAGTTTGTTGGATGTGGTCAGCCATGTTCTTCATACAAAAGCTACAATCAATTACACCTGCACATCTACCTGAATAAAAAGAAATTCAATAAATGGTTATTAATCAGTTATACAGAATTCCAGAAACATCAACAACTCATTATCCTTTTTCTTTCTCAACTGGTAGCTTGTTTTGGGGGCTGCCCCCCACCCAATTCCGAATCTGAGTTCTTGTCAGAAGATTCCACTGCTCCCTCTTCATCACTCCTTCGGTGCTGTCCTCTTTCTTTTTATCTTCTTCGCCTGCTGGTCGGTTTTGTTGCTGCAAAAAATCCAAAGCCTTTTCAACAGAGTCAATTTTTTCTTTTTTGTCCTTAAATTTGAAGATTATGCCTTCCGGGACATTCCATCTGTAGGGGACTTTGTTTTTTTCTGTAAAAATAATGCCAAGTCTCAATTGAATCCTAGTTTTGTATGATTTCTTTATCAAGCTCTGGTAGATATAAAAGGTACACAAGAGTTTGTGCAGATGAAGATAATATCACTCAAGCGTTCACTGTGAAAACTCCCCCCCCAAAAAAAAACCCCCTTATTTTGATACACATCTGCTCTTCTCCCCTGTGTTGGGGGAAAAGTTTCTTTAGAATAGTCCCTGATCTAGATGGCCCAGGCCAGCCGGATCCCTTCAGATCTCAAAAAGACCACCAAGAAAGTGGCAAACCACCTCTGAACATCTCTTACCTTGCAAACCCTATCGGGTCTCTGTAAGTCCGTTGCAACTTGACAATGCTTTCCACCACAAGTTTAGAACAGAAGCTGGATTTGCACGGCACTGACCGGCTGGTCCTTCTATCACTTTTTCACAGAATGCCACCCCACTCCCTAAGTTATCATTCGGTAGTTTGGATTTCTTTTCTCTTGACGAGTTGATGTCCCATGTGTACCCCCACTGTCATTTCAGTTGGTCCTGGAAGCATATTATTTTAAGGGGTCTCTGTAAGACAGCTTTCTTCTCCATACAGCACCAACCCAGCAACTAAACCTCTCAGGAAAAGTTCCCCCTTTCTTTAGCTTTGCTCGCTAGCAACACTAATGTTTGGTCTAGTGGACTGTGCCTCTTACAGCCCAGACTGCCCTGCATCTGTGGTGTGTAGAGAGGCAGAGGGAGGATTCCGTGAAGACAACAGGTGAGTGACATATTGCTTGAAGATCTTCAAGGTGTGTAGGCATGCTCAGAATTGCACATTCCTCCTGTAACTTCTTTATCCATTAACTAGATTTCATTGAAGCCACTGACAGCCAGCATGGTAGAATGGTTATAGTGTCAGGCTAAGACCTAGGAGGCCCAGGTTTGAATCCCTATTCTGCAGTGAAAGCATGCTGGGGTGACCTGGGGAATGAGGAAATAGTGATATCAGGGCTTGTTCATGCACACTTTTTCTAGGTTACCAACCTCCAGGTGGGGCCTGGAGTTCTCCTGGTATTACAAGTGACTACAGAGATCAGTTGTCCCTGCAGGAACGGACAGCTTTGGAGGGTGGACTTCATGGCACCACATCCCTGTGGAACTTCCCAATCAGGGTATCAGTAGCTCCTGAGTGGGCATCCAAACTCCTTGAACCCCCATTTCTTTCCTATCCCAGACAGGCAGTTGAACGCTGATTTCGCTCCAAAGCACTGCATGTATGGAGTCCTACGAAAGCTCTGTCTTTGTGCAATGCAATTTATTATTTTAATACAGGTTGTGTATATAGCAACACCAGCAATGAGCACAAGTCATCACCAAGTGAGTCTGATAGCCAATTTGGGATTGGCAGGACTGCTGCCAGAGGGACTGAGTGGACAAAAATGGGGGGACGGGGGACAAATCAGCTGGAGGACCCATGAAGCCAGTGTTAAGCTGCATCCAGGCAAACCTCTTTCCATTTCTTTTTAATGCAGTTCTGGCTGCAGCCACTAGGGGTGCACAGAAGTAAAAGGCTTTCTACTATGGGCTTGATTTCCCTTTCTCCAAGACTGAAGCCAACTTGTCTAACAGATCATGCTTAAACCCATCAACTAATCCAGCAGTGAAGCTAGACAAGCAACCCCCGGTGATGGCTGCTACACTAACGGGCAACCTGCAGCCTGCTAACCAACCTGCAGCTATTTCCCAAGTGTGGCCCCCATCTGCAGATACCTAAACCCGTGGATCGGGACCACGCTTTACCACAAACAGATTTTTCTGCAAACTTGGGGTACTCCCTAGGTTTGTGGTAAAAATCTGAAAAATTAAAATCATTGGGGGGTTTAAATCCTTCCCGAATTAAATGTACCATTGAGCAGCTGGAAAAGGGCCAGGTGCTTGCTGCCACTGCAGGTGGCTGCGGCAGCAACATAATCTGGAAGCTGCTGGCAGGCCCAGCCACAGTGGTGGAGTTGGGGAGTTGCCGGCTGGCCTGGCTGTGATTGGAGTGGAGCCCAGAAGCCGCTCCAAGCAGTGTTCCCTCTAAGCTGAGTTAGTGTGTGCTAGCTCACCGTTTTTTAGCCTCCGGCCCACACATTTTTGTCTCATCTCAGGAAGGATGGCTCCAGAGCAAACTAATTTTATGCAGTAGCCAAATCGCTCACTCACAACTTTAATGCCGGTAGCTCACAAAGTAGAATTTTTGCTCACAAGACTCCACAGCTTAGAGGGAGCATTGGCTCCAAGTTGAGCTGCAGCGGCAGAGCCCAGCCATTGCTCCAGGCCTGGCCTCAGATGTGGTGGAGCCTGACAGCCCCTCCAGGCTCTGAATTGCTCTCAGACAACACCACTGCTCTGGCTGGACTCCAAGGGAGTCACACTGGACAGCGATGGACGGAGTGGGATCTTCCCTGCAAGTTTCGCAGGGGGCCCACTTGTTTTCTATAATAGTCTAGCGTTTTCCTTCATTTCTCTCCCTCTTTTTCACACTTTTCTCATTCATTTCTGTCTCCTTCCACTTAATTTTTCCATGTCTCTCCTCCCCGTCCTTTATTTTCACTTCTTGGTCTCAAGACCTCCTCATCCCTATCCTGCTTGGCAACAGAATGTACTTAAAAGTAGTATAGTAGCAAACTTGTTAATATTATGAACATAAGAGGGGGGAATTAGTTTCCCACACACACACAATCTAACAAAGTAGTAAAAGGATGCTCCCCCTCTCCTCCACACTTTACCTGCACGCTAATAGAACATTAGTGGTTATACATGTGGAAGAGAAGTTACGACTCCCGGTTCTAGCACTGGATTGTTAATCATAGAATCGCAGGGTTGGAAGGGGCCATACAGGCCATCTAGCCCAACCCCCTGCTCAATGCAGGATCAGCCTCGAGCATCCCTGACAAGGGTTTGTCCAGCCGCTGCTTAAAGACTGCCAGTGAGGGGGAGCTCACCAGCTCCGTAGGGAGCTGATTCCATTGTTGCACAACTCTTACTGTAAAAAAAGTTTTCCCTAATATCCAGTCGGTACCTTCCCACCTTTAATTTAAACCCATGATTGTGAGTCCTCTCCTCTCCTGCCAACAGGAACAGCTCCCTGCCCTCCTCTAAGTGACAGCCCTTCCGATACTTCAAGAGAGCAATCCTGTCCCCCCTCAACCTCCTCTTCTCCATGCTGAACATTCCCAAGTCCCTCACCCCTTATCAACCTTGTCACTCATTTTTGTGCTAGTGCAAGGTCTAATATTATAATCTTTTTAATACAGAGGTCATTTCGGGGGAGGGGGATCGCAGTTCCCCCGGGTGAGGTACGGGGGCGGGGCACATGACGAAGCCCCGCCCCCTGCTTCCGGCCGTTCCGCTTCCGGCCCTCATTCAGCCAGGAGGAGGCAGGAGAAGAGGGAGGGTAAGTTGCTTCCTCCCTGCCTCTCCCCACCCCTGCCTGCCTGGGGCCAGGGAGGGCCTTCGCGGGGCTTCCTTGCACTCCCACCGGCCTTGCAGGTCCACCGCCGGGCCCCTCATGGGGCTCGGCAGTGGAGCTGCAAGGCTGGCGGCGGCAGCCAGGACCGTTGGGGGTGGGGTGTGTGGCCTTATGACACACTTCCGGTGATGTCAGGGGGTGTGGCATATGCTAATGAGTTATGCTAATGAGTTCCCCTAGCTCTTTTTCTACGAAACGACCCCTGTTTTAATATAATTAAAAATTAGATTTATAACAAACACCATACCCAGTCTTTCTCCCCAGTGGGGACCCAAAGCAACATTGTTCTCCTGTCCTCCTTTTTATCCTCACAACAGCCCTGTGAGGTCAGTCTGGCTGAGAGTGTGTCACCCAGCAACCTTCCATGGCTGTTTGGGGATCTGGGTATTGGAGACACTTGACAGGTTGCTTAAAAGCTCTCTTATTGCATGTTGTCTGTCGTGAAGGGTGCTCCAGTTCCCTTCATTTTTGGCACTGTAACATTCTGGGGTTAGTGGCCAGTTTTCAAACATGCAGCGTTATTTTCTAAGTTATGCCTGCCGCAGAGACCCTTTGCTTCAGTTGCAATTAGCACAGTGTGGTGGTGGTGCTTTGCCTCACCTGGGCGAGGATTTCAGTTTTGGCCCTAGAACTCCCACAATCATCCTGAAGCTGGTGGCCAATTTTGAGTCTCCTAGCTTTATTCTGTGACTAGTTATACGGGCCAGTGTGGTGGAGTGGTTAAACTGTCAGGCTGGGATCTCTGAAACCCGGATTAAATCCCTGCTCTGCCATGGAAGCTGGCTGGGTGACCTTGGGCCAGTCACACACACTCAGCCTAACCTATCTCACAGGGTTGTTGTGAGGATAAAACAGAGGAAGGGAGAAGGATATAAACGGCTTCGGGCCACCATTGAGGAGAAAGGTGGGGTGTGAATAAATAAGCAAACATGAACAGATAGGCCCATTCTTTTATTACTACAGAATTATGGTAACAGCAAGCCAAGTTTTGTTGTTTTGTTGTGATATTTGGTTTGGGGGGGTGGGGGGAGATGGAATCTTTGTCCAGAGGCTCACGGTGGCTCCCAGGGATTGAGCAGATCTCGCCCTCTATCCTGGCTCTGCAATCGCACCCTCGGCTAACCCTAAACCCCCATGTCGGCGAGGCTCCGGTTTTTTCCGTGGGGAGCCCGCGAAGCGCCAAGCCCGCGAAGCCCTGGGCGGGGTCTGCCTGCGTCCCCGCCCGCCGGGCGTCACCCGTCCTCCCTCCCTCTCCCTTCCCAGCCACCGCCGAGGCGCCTCGTGGTGGGAGTCGGCTGCCGAGGCTGACTCGTGCGCTCTGGCTTCCCGCTGGCCATGGCAGCGGCGCTGGCGGTGGCGCTCCCCGCCCTGCTGGCCTTCGCCTTGGTCAGCTCGGGCCCTTGGCGGCTGCCGGGCCCCGAGCCGCCTCCGGGCTTGCTGCGGGAACTGGAGGGGCGGCAGCGGGACCTGGGCCGCTTGGCCGCTGTCATCCGGGCGCGCGTTTCCCCTGCGTCGTCGTCGTCGCCGCCGCCTCCTCCTGCCTTGGGTTGCGCGGACGTGGAGGGCGCGGCGGGCGTCAGCCTGGTGGGCTCCGGCATCACCAAAGTGGTCGTGAGAGCCGCGTTGCCGCCCGCCGGCCGGGAGGTCGCCCTGAAGTCCGTGCACGGCGGCGGCCGCGACGTCAACCGCTGCGTGCAGCGCTACGGGCACCCGGCGGGTTGCCACCGGCTGGCCGCTTACAAGCTGCTCAAGGAGGCGACGCTCCTCCAGAGCCTGGAGCATCCCGGCATCATCGAGGCACGTAGGGCCGACTTTGGGAACGGGAGCGCCTGGCAGGCGTCGGCCCAAACGGGCGTCCGGGTCGACGGCTTTGGTAGGGTTGTCAGTCTCTAGGTGGGGCCGGCTGGAGATCTGGAATTGCAACTGATCTCCAAGTAACAGGGATCAGTTCCCCTGGAGGAAACGGCAGTTTTGGAGGGTGGATTCTGGCATTATACCCCGCGGAGGTCCCTCCTCTCCCTCAAACCCACCTTCCCCAGACTCCACCCCCCCCAAATCCCCAGGAATTTCTCAACCTGAAGTTGGCAACCCAATGCTGTGGAGAACGCGTGTGGCGGGACGCTTTGGCTTAAAACGCCGTTCGGATTAGTGGGGTTGAGGCGCGAGGTTAGCATTGCTGCGTCCTGGCCGCTGGGAAGGGAAAAGCGCAGCTGCGGCATTGGCTGGACTGTGGTCGTTCGTTTGCAACGAAGTTTAGTTAGTAAAATGAGTACCTTGAATTGAATCGAATTGTGCAAGCATGGGCTCCGAGTCGGCAAAAGCTTGCTTATCTCTGTGCAGCCCCCCTTCTGCTGGTTTCTGCTGCTCTGGAAAGAGGTTGTAGTAGGCAACCCTGTTGGTCCAAAGTGAAAGCCAGGAGCACCCAAAAATGACCCAAAACACTGCCAGCTTTTGAATTCCACAGGACATTTCATCGGGCTGTGTTTGTGTGTGCTATTAATAATTGCACATGAAGATCACATTCCATCCCCTGACCTGTCATCTTCTACTTTCTGATTATACTTCCTGTAGGATTTCTTCCCCCAGCAAACGTTTCTTCCTTATGAAAGAGAAGCAAGTCTTTTATAGATAACTGGACACCTTTCCACCCCAGTGATGATTTTTGCATTGCTTCCCTAACTGGCTGCTGGTTCATCCCTTTTCCTTTTTATTCTCCCCCCCCTCCCAAGCACATACAAACACACATTTTTAATGTCAGGTTTGTGCAGCTGCATCCAGGAGTCCATTCAGTATTTGGTGCTTTCCAATTTCTTCTGTTTCAAGTCCATCTCAAGATAAGAGAGAGCTAGTGTGGTATAGTGGCGAAGAGTGTCAGACCGGGATCTGAGAGATCCAGATTCAGATCCCCACTTGGCTATGGAAACTTGCTGGGTGACCTTGGGCCAGTCACACACTCTCAGCCTTAACCTACCTCATAGGGCTGTTGTGAGGGTAAAGTGGAGCAGAGGAGAATGATGTAAGCTGCTTTGGGTCTCAATTGGGGAGAAAGTTGGGGTATAATTGAACTAAAATAAATCCTCCTTCTCCCCACCCCCCATCAGACAATGCATCAAGCTTATTAGGGTGTATATTGTGGGCATCCATGTAGTAGAATTTTTTTAAAAAAGCTTTAAAAACTCAAATCTTGTTTTTGTGAAAGAAGCCAAGCTTACGTGAATGGGGAACTCTTTAATCACAAGTATCAGATAGATAAGAGAGCCTCTGTATCCGGCAAACTGCATCTGAAGTCTCCCTCTGGTTAATTATTGTTAATGGCCCGATAGAGCTCATAAGGCAGTGGGAGAAAGCAGATTGTGGTTGCTCCAAACAAGAAAATTGCCCTTGGCTGAGTTAATGGTAAACACACATCAAGGGGAATGCAGTGTTCTCAGGGCGGTGTAAGCACTCAGAACGCTGGCTAATTAAATTCATGATTTACCCAGTGTCAGCATGCTTGGAAGCAAATGTGTAAGAAGAACTCTTTAACTATGGTGCAATCTTTGCTGAGGAATTAGTCCTTGTATACCATTCCTTCCTTCCCTCCACACATATTTATCTTCTAAAAAGGAGGAGATACCTGTGTTTTCTGTCTGTATTAATATGACACTGTGCTTCTTTTTTTCCTTTCCCCAGCTGAGAGGTCAATGCTATGATGGTAGTGCCGATCCTGAAATGAAGATCACCACTATCCTGGAGCTGGGAACACCCTTGGAGATGATTGAACTTCTGCAGACCCCCTGGGAAAAGAGATTTAAAGTAAGCAAACAACACCAAGCCATGTTTTATCAGTTGCCTTTAGACCTCAGACCGAGTGCAGAAATCCCAGGAGGGGCAAATGGGTTTCTTTGTTGCTGCCTTCTGTGTAAAGCCTAGTTTGAAATAAATGTCATTTCAAAAAAAATGTATCTCCAATAAACCAGTGGTTTATAAAATGGAAGACGGAACAGCTGTCTTCTCTGTGGGAAAGAACCCTCTGCAATTTCAAGTACCTAATAGGCATTTTTGAGAAAGTGCCAAAAAGGGCAGTCTGACCAATCAAGTGGCTGAGGCACCTTTCCTGCAAGGAAAAGTTAAGAGTTTTGGGGTGGATTTCTAGTTTAAGGGAGGGGGAGATGAATAAGCAAGCCTGATTTAAAAAGTTATACTTGGTGTGAAGAAAGTAGGTAGAGAACTTTTTCTCCCTTTCCCTGCTTATTTACTTCATTTATAATCTCACCTCTTTCCCCAGTGGGAACCAAAAATGGCTTACGTGGTTCTTCTCTATTTTACACTCACAACGGTCCTGTGAGGTAGGCTAGGCTGAGTGTCTGTGACTTCCCAAGATCACCCAGCAAGCTTCCATGACACAGCGGGGATTCCAACCTGAGTCTCCCAGATCCTAGTCTAACACCCTAAGTGCTACACTCAAGTGACTCTCATTCTTTGGGGGGGACTGAAGAAACTGATGGTAGATTTAGAACAGTCAAACATGGGTAATTGTTCACACTGTGAATAAGTGCCTTTTATAGAGCTCTGTGTTACGGGACATGGGGATGTCCACTTACATAGGGGGCTTGGTAAATTAGACAGATTCACAGAGGAGAGAGTTCCATCAATAGCTATTAGCTGTGATAGCTAAATTGGATGTTCATGTTCAGAGGCAAAGGATGTCTGGCTACTGGTTGTGGGGGGGCTGCATCCCTGTATTATTTGACTTCACCCTGAACACCTGAAACTGCCTTATGCTGAATCAGATCATGGTCTACCAAGGCCAGCTTTGTCTACTTAGACTGACAGCAGCTCTCCAGAGTCTCAGGCAGAGGTCTTTCACTGCAGCCAATGTGGTGTAGTGGGTAAGATTGGTGGACTCTAATCTGGAGAACTGGGTTTGATTCCCCATTCCCTCTCCACCTGACACCTGCTGGGTGACCTTGGGCCAGTCACCGTTCTCTCAGGACTCTTTCAGCTCCACCTACCTCACGAGGTGTCTGTTGTGGGGAGAGGAAAGGAAAGGTGATCGTAAACTGCTTTGAGACTCCTTAGGGCTAGAGATGTGAAGGCCCGGAAAAAACCCGGAAAAATTCGGGGGGGAAACGGTTTTTTCCCCGTTTTTTTCCTGAAGCTTTTTTGTTTTTTTTCCGAAAAATTGGAAAAATTGAAAAAAGAAAAGAAAAAAAATTGATTATGGAACGTTTTATTTTAACATGATGAATAAAATATTTTAAGGCAAGGTGTTCAAATATTTTTCAAATCATTTCATATGTATATATGGTATCAGATTGATCTAATTTCTGTGCACTGAGGACAAGCAAGTCCTAAGTTACAAACTGAACTCCCCAATGCAAGAACAAGATGCATTTCTTCCTTTAGGAGGTGCGATTGTCAGAAGAAAATAAAAAAGTTTCAGTTTTGTTTTTGCATGTGGGTGGGTATTCTGTTTGTAATAATTGTTTGGATGCACTGTATTTTTAATATGCTAGTTGTGATAATTTCATGCCAAGTAAAAATGTCCATAGTCATATTTTATGTTCCTAAAGTTCCTAAAAAAGATGACTTTCAATCTAGAAAAGACAAAAGAAATGCTAATGTAGCATTTTTTCAATTTTTCTGAAAAATTCCGTTTCCCCCCGAAAAAAACCGGGTTTTTTCCCGAGCTTCAAAATTTCCGGAAATTTTACATCTCTACTTAGGGCAGAGAAAAGCAGGGTATGAAAACCTACTGTCCTCCTCCTCCTCCTCCCTTAATTCTAACCAGAGATGGTGGAGATCAAATCTGGGACCTTCTGCATGCTGAGCAGATGCTCTGCCACTGAGCCATGGCCTTTCCCCATCATTCACATGCTCTCAGGCAACCAGTATTCATCTTCTGCTTTTCAGATCTGTCTAGATCTGGTGGAATTGCTCTACTACTTGGCAAATTCTCCCCTGGGTTCCATCACCCTCCTGGATTTCCAGCCTAGACAGTTTGTGATCGTGGATGGGGTCCTGAAGGTGACTGACCTGGATGACGCAAGCACTGAGGAACTGTCGTGCCAGACAGATGAGGACTGTGTGTTAGAATTCCCCACGAAAAACTTTTCTCTCAAATGTACCATGCGTGGGAAGTGCGAAGGAATCAACGAGAGAAGAAATCTCTTCAATGCCTACCGGTATGTTGGGCAGCGTTAAAACTAATTACTGATGAATGATTCCCAGGAGCCTGCCTGGTGTAGTGGTTGGCATATCAAACTGGGCCTGGGAGGTTCAAATAATCATTGATAGCATTTTCGCACACAATAAGTAAACGTACTTTCAATGTGCTTTGCAACTGGATTTTACTGTGTGAAATGGAACAATCCACTTGCAAATGATCGCTAAAGTGGATTGGTGCTTTTTTCACCTTGTGTGAAAGGGCTGTCTTCTGTCACGAAGCTCACTGCCAGTCTATACTATCTCAGCTAGATTTACCTCACAGGCTTGTTGTGAAGCTAAGAGAGAGGCTGGGAGAAGCGTGCACGCTGTCTGGAGCTCCTTGAAGTGAGGGCGTGATGAAAGTGCAGTGTGTAGAGAGATCTCATACACGTGGGGTGGGGGTGCACTGAATCTGAGAGAAAATGATGTGACCAAAATGCCCAGTCAGGGACATATCAAACCATGCTAGCGTCCAAGTCTTAAGGAACGTTGCTACAGCTTAAAATTTTTTTGTCCTTAAACTTTGTTATAGGTATTTTTTCACTTACCTCTTACCACACACGGCGCCCTCTGTTTTACAGCCCATTCTGAAGGACATCCTGAATGCCACAGGTAAATATGACATTTTGAAAGTTTATTTGAACAAGAGCTGCTCTTGAGGCATCTATCTCCTGAAAAACCACTTCATCTTTTCCTACCCACCCTGTCCTGTTCTGTCAATGTAGGTGATTTACGATATGGAGTAAATGAAACGCTGAGAGCTTTTCAGAAGGTTTTGCATTTGTACAAGTCTGGACTTTACCTGCAGAAGAAGCCTTCCCATCTAAAAGGTACAGAGGATGATTTAAAAGCCTTCATGCAATTTATTTTCAACTAGGGTTGCCAAGACTAGGTTGGAAAATACCTGGAGACTTTGGAGGTGGAGCCAGGAGAGGGTGGGGTTTGGGGAGGGGAGGGGGCCTCAGCATGGTCCAATGCCACAGAGTCCACCCTTCAAAGCAGCCATTTTCTCCAGGGGAGCTGATCTCTGTCGGCTGGGGATCAGTGGTAAAAGCGGGAGATCCCCAGGCCCCACCTGGAGGCTGGCAACCCTAATTTCAATGCCAAACTTTAGCGCACATGCTAAGGAGACCAGAGATAGTGAGTTGTTTTAAAAGTTGAAATTGGGCAGAAGTTAATCATGGCAAGTCATTCATTTCAATGGGAATACCGTAAGTGCAACCAGCAGTATTCTCACACCCTTCTGACCCCATTGAATTCAGTGGATTTAGAAGGATGTAGCTCTGTTTAGGATTGCGCTGTAATTTTCTCAGGATTGGAGCCAGTGTTGAGTAAGATTTCTTCCAGGTGATTTCTTTGTTTCTCTCTTTATTCCCCCCCCCTTGATGTAGTTCTTTGGTTTAATGCTCAAGGTGATTCAATATGAGCCAGTTTCATTGTTCTCCTTTAAAGTGGGAACGGTGTAATACTTAAGGCAGAGACATTGTAACGGTTAGAAAAACCTTTCAGGGTTCAGTGACAGCCCTGATTGTAAATGGCTTTAAAAGGGAACAGATGCATGGAGGCTAGAGTTGCCAACCTCCAGGTGGTAGCTGGAGATCTCCTGGGATTACAACTGATCTCCGAGTAACAGAGATCAGTTCACTTGGAGAAAACAGCCGCTTTGGAAGGTGGACTGTATGGTATTATACCCCACCGATGTCGTCCCCCCCAAAAAAAAACCCTACTCTTCTTAGGCTCCGCACCCCCAAATATCCAGGTATTTCCCAACCTGCAGCTGGCAACTCTAGGAGGCTAAGTCCATCAGTGGCTACTAGCTGTGGTGCCACAACACAAAATTGATTGGCATTGTATTTCCAGTGAAGCTCTGCAAGTTCAAAGATAGATGAAATGGAGAAATGCAAGAAACAGGAAGCGGAATCCGCTTTACTTCCTGTTTCTCCTGGCTTCTTTTGTTCTATCTAACACAACTCTCAGACTTCAGCCAAATGCATAACTTCTTTTTCTTCCTAGAATATATTGCCTTAAAAGGATTCCATAGCGGGACTGCAGAGGACTACAAGTGCTGGCCCTCTTATAGCCACTCGGGGTGTGTGCTCTCGGTTCACAATGCAGAAGAAGCGGCAGACATTTGCAGTTCCCATTCTCAGTGTCAGCATTTTATCATCACTCCACAGAAGACATGGACAGGTGAGAGCAAAGGACTTAGCAATCCTCACAGACATGCACCTCGGTCACATGGGCTGGATATCGCGGTGTGTGTGTGTGTGTGGCTGTTTGCCCCGGAGCGAACTACTGCGCGGCAGCCGGATCAAACGTCCCGCCCAACATCCCGCCGACGTCCCATGGTTGGGGGGAGGTGCCGATCATACCTCACTCCTGCGGCACGGCAAAGAAGCGGCGCCACAGGGGTTGTATTGTTTTTTTTAACCCAAGTGTTCGCATGCGCCGTTGGGTGCTTGTGCACCCAAGAGACTTGACAAAAAAAAACCCTTTTACCGACGGGACATGGACAGGCGCCGGATGCCACGAGCTAACACTGGAAACGTGATCTGACGCCCGCCCTTGTCCCGCGGTTTCCGGAAACTAGCACCTCGGAGGTACTAGTTTTTTACAGCGCATCTTCGGAGTGAAGCCTCGGGTGAGCCACAGGAGCTGTAGGCTTCCCAGATGTGGCGTGCCTAATGCTCCGTGTGACCGGGGCCATGAGTCCTTTTTCCCTCCTAGAGATTGAAAAGGAGAGAGAATTCTGGTGTTTGTTTTTTTTAAGAAAAGGAGACAGTAAGTAGCCTTTTTAAAAAGGTGATGTTTTCAAAATCACAACTTGCAGATGGACTAGCCTTGGCACTGTTTTAGCTGATTCTCACAACTGCTGAGATTAAGTCCTGCTAGTTCCTGCGATGAGGCAGCAAGATGCACAGCAAGCTGACACAATTTGCACTACAGAACATCCTTTAATATTTCAGTCCATTTAGAAGACTGTTATTGACACTTAAAACTCTGAGGCTGGGTGGAATAACACATTTCAGTTAACACAGTTAGTCCAGTAGCATCTTAAAGACGACCAGGGTATAAGCTTTCGAGAGTCCAAACTCCCTCTGTCAATCTGCTGTTGGTCTCTGAGGTACTTCTGGACTCAAAACTAGCTGTTCTACTGCAGACCAAGATGGCTATCCTCTGAAACATTTCAGTAAAATGTGTGTGTAAAGGGCTGTCAAGTCACAGCTGACTTATGACGACCCCAGCAACGCGCTTTCAAGGCAAGTGAAAAGCAGGGGTGGTTTGCCGTTGCCTTTCTCTGCAGAGTCTTCCTTGGTGGTCTCCCTCCCTGCTTAGCTTCCGAGATCTGATGAGATCCGGTTAAACCATGCCTCCTTCCCTCCCTTCAGTAAAATACTGGTCCTGTTCTTTCCCCATCCTTCCAAACCATGTTTGGATCTCTTCTGATTTGCTGCCCTGAATGTTTTTGCCACTTTTTTCCCTGCATTACTAAACAGGTTCTGTATCCTCCACTCCAGAGACAGGTGCAATTTGTACAAGTCTGGAAGTGGAGTAATCTGTGTGGTGTGCATATAATTTAGGTCCGAAGAGTGTTGAGGGGTTATTGGGGTGGGGGGAAAAACAATAAAAGTGGGACCTGTTCTGATTATAAGAAAGTTTCTTCTGATCTCCTTTATCGGCCTAAATCCCCACAACAAACAAAATTCTCATGTGCCCTGTAATTAGCACCGATTATGGCCTTTCACTGAAGGAAGATCCAGTGCCCTTCTTTTTCAAGAGCATACCATCAATTATCTGATTTTTGGCTGACACTTCTGCAGTTGAGCTATTACCCCCTCATGTGAATAATGAGAGATGCAGATTAGTACGATCCAGTCATTACTATAAAGGATGATTCATTATATCATTATCTTAGGGAAAACTGGTATGGATGTTTTGTCTTAATGATCCCAATTATCCTTAATAATCCTTTATTAATAATAATCCTATTATTATTATTATTAATAATAATAATAATAATAATAATAATGGATTATTAAAACACTTTTATAATAATAATCCTTAATAATCCTTTTCTTTCTTTTGGAAACTTGTATGAAAATGCAAAGTGGGTAAATTTCACTAGCACGAGAAGGCGCGGTGGTCAGAGTGTTGCACTAGGATCTGGGAAACCCAAGTTTGAATCCCCACTATGCTGTGCAAATTTGCTGGGTAAACCTTCGGCCACTAACAGACTCTCAGCATAACATACCTCACAGAGTTGTTGTGGGGATAATATGGAAGAGGGGAGAATTTATGTAAGCTGCGTTGGGTCCCCGTTAGGCAGAAAGAAGAAGAATGTGCCATTGAGTCAGAACCGACTTGTGGCAACCCCAGCCACGGGGCGTTCTAGGCAAGGGAGCCGCCACGAAGAGCCGGAGAAAGAAGAAGAGCCCTGCTGTCTGGGGTGCTGGTAGGATGTCACCTCCCCTGTAAAGAATTGTGGCCCTAGATAGGTATAATGAATACAATGTAAACCGCTCAGAGCCCTTCGGGGGTGGTCTAGAAATTGAAGGTATAAATAAATAAAAGGGATGAGCAGGTGTGGTTTGCAATTCCCTTCCTCCACATAGCAACCTCAGTCTTCGTTGGCGGTCTCCTGTCCAAGTACTGATTATGGCTGACCCTGCTTAGTTCCCAAGCCCTGCTGTGCTCAAGCCAAACCGGGCTAATTGGGCTGCTACTGGGGAGAAAGCCAGGGTTTCAATGAAGTAGATAAATAAAACTGGATCATATTTATGAGCCAATTTGGTGTAGTGGTTAAGAGCGGTGGACTCTGATCTGGGGAACCGGGTTTGATTCCCCACTCCTCCTCCACGTAAAGCCAGCCAAGTGACCTTGGGTCAGTCACAGTTCCCTCGGAGCTCTCTCATCCCCACCCCCAGAGTGTCTGTTGTGGGGAGAGGAAGGGAAGGCGATTGTAAGCCGCTCCAAGACTCCTTTGGGTAGTGAAGGGTGGGGTATAAAACCAACTCTTCTTATTGTTATTATTACTATTGTTGTTGTTGTTATATGTGCATTTAATGTACAATATGCAGCAGGAGAAAAGATTACGCACACACACCCTGCACACCACTTAGACAAAACATGATCATATGAATATAACCCACACGTCTTAAGTGCAAGGTGTTCTCTACCAGTTTTGATGTGGAAAAGCTAATGTGTCAACAGGGTCTTTTTTCACAGTTGCCTTGAATAACATCGAGACCTATGTATTGTTGCCCTTTGTAGCTATGTTCAGATGAATTAAAGAGAAAAAGAAGATATCTGCAGGCTAACTTCTAGGAAGCATTTTACTAAGTGCAATTCCCTGAAGAAAAAATAAGGGGAGGGGACGTTTCAGTGTGGCCCCAATATGCCCATGTCCTAATGAATGTCACAGAGGGAAGGAGCAATAGCTTATAGGATGTAACACAACACCAGGGGGGAAAGGCCATATTTATACCCTGTGTTTCTTGATCTTTGGCACCATCAGTACTTCTAAAATACTGAGCTGCCAAAAATGATTTGTTCTGTTCCCCTCTTCTGCCCATTTTTCTCTCTTCCCTTTAGATCCAACATCTGGGCATCTCCCCTGCTCCTCTTCCTCCAGAGATACCATTCCTTATTATGTAGTTCCAAAACCTGGAGGGGCTGAGCTCCCAACCTTGTTCTTAGTGCGTAGGACTTTGTAATGTTAAAATAAAATAGTCAAAAGGTTCCTCTGAGCATATCCAGAGCAGTTTACCCTCTCCCCCACTGAGTAGACTCTGGGGCACGTCTTGGGTAGGTAATCCGGTCATGTGGGCCAATGGCCAGGCCATTGGAGTCTCACTATGAACACAGGGAACTGCTTTAAACTGAATCAGACCCATGGTCCATCAGTCAGTATTGTCTACTCAAACTGGCAGCCCCTCTCCAGGGTCTCAGGCGGAGGTCTTTCACATCACCTTCTACCTGGACCTTTTTTTAACTGGCGATGCTGAGGATTGAACCTGGGACCTTCTGCATGCCAAGCAGATGCTCTGCCAGTGAACGTAGTGTGTGCTTTAGAATACATCCAGCACTCTTGCAGCTGTGCATTGTGGGAAATGGCAAGCTGTCTGTCAAGGAAGCTTGTCTGCCATTTTTGGTCATTCCATTGATGAATCCTTGATAAACTCCCTGGGAATTCCAGGGTTCCTTAAAACGTAATTTGGAAACCATTGAAGAGTTACATAAAATAGACATTACAGTATTGCTGACATCTCTGGAGGGAGCGGGCTCATCTTTCTCTTTTTCTGAGACCCTCCCCATCCATATCTGGGTCTGTGCTCCAAAAGTGTGATGTTTGCAAACAGGAGTTAACACAGGTGTTATAATACAGATTACTTGTCATCATTTTGTAATGGAAGGGAGAAAATGTATATGCCCCATCTCCAGAGAGCTACTGAATGTATAACTTCACTGTTGCTCTTTCAGTATCAGACGCTGATCTGGGAGAGCTGGGATTGAATGCCCGCTCTGCCACGGAAGCTTGCTGGGTGGCCCTGGGTGCAGAGAATGCTATCGTAAGCCACTTTGGATCTCACTGGGGAGAAAAGCAGGGTATAAATATCTAACAGGGATATCTAAATAAATGCTCCCTCTACGCTGTGGAGTCTTGTGAGCAAGAATTCTACTTTGTGAGCTACCGGCATTAAAGTTGTGAGCCAGTGATTCGGCTACTGCATAAATTAGTTTGCTCTGGAGCCATCCTTCCTGAGCGAAGACAAAAATCTGTGAGTCGGAGGCTGAAAAACTGTGAGCTAGCTCGGACTAACTCAGCTTAGAGGGAACATGTCTGCTTTTCTTTCTCTGTGGGCCAGTTGGCCCATTGCTCAGTGGTAACACACACACAGCCCTTGTTGTGGGTGTGGCTATACAAGCACACAAGCGAATGCTGCAGAACTTGATGCACATGCTTGTGAAACCGAAGCCTTCTTTCTGGAATGCTTTTAGTGTTTTAATTGGTCACTTCATTTCAGCCAGTGTTATAAATATTCCCTAGGCTGCTTTTACAGATCTTGTCTCTTCTCCTCTCCACTGGCAGGGCGTCCGCTCGCTTTGTTTCAAAGCAGCTCGGCTGACTTAATCCCAGGCGGTAACACGGTGGTTTACATGAAACGATCTGCAGTCTCCAGGGGGAAGCCTCTAACAAGAAGCCCGAATGACTACAGAGATGTTGGAGAAGAAATACCCGCCGGGACTAATTTCGGCCCCCCAGGGAGATGACACGCTTTACTTCTGCTTAAGAACATGTTCTCTGTACCAACTTCACTTGTGCCAAATAGAGTCACTTCCCTGATCCAAATCAACATTCCCCATGGAAGGCGCAACCCCCTCCATGAAAAACCTCGCCAATCTGATTGTCTTTGCCCAGGCTCAGTGGTACCTGAGAAATACCTGCTCAGTAGTAGGGATGTTGACCTCTAGGTGAAGCTTGAGGATCTACTGGAATTACAGCTCGTCTCCAGACTACAGAGATCAGTTCCCCTGGAGAACACGGATACTCTGAAGGGTGGACTCTATGGCCCTGTGCCTCACTGAGGTCCCTGTCCTCCACAAGCTCCACCCCCAAATCTCTAGGAATTCCCAGCTGGGAGCAGGCAACCCTGCCCCTCCCCACGTCCCCCCCACACACACACACACTAGTTCCCAGTAGGACCTGGCAAACCTCAGTTTGGCTTCAACCACAGCTAGAATGTTACTGTGGACTGCTACCTGCTGCATCAGGAAACTAGAACATAAAATGTTCCATGGGGACACACTGTGGTACTGTCATTAGGGTGTCAGTTTATGACAGGGCAGGGTTGTCGGTCTCCAGGTGGGACCTGGGGATCCCCTGGGATTACAGCTCATCTCCGGACAACAGACATCATTTCCCCCCGGAGAAAATGGAGGCTTGGAAGGGTGGACTCTACAGCAATGTACCCCACTGAGGTCTCTCCTCTCCCCAGGCTCCATCCCCAAATCTCCAGGAGTTTCCCAACCTGGATCTGTCAACCCTACCCCCCATTCCCGGCCAGTTTCCAGCAACCCTATGACAGGGGGAGCCCCAAGTTCAGACCCTGCCCTCTGCCAGGGAGCTCACTGGAGGACCTTGGGTCAGTTTCACACTCTCAGCCTAACCTACCTTTTAAGGCTATTATGAGGAAGAGCCACATTTGCCTCCTTGAGCTCTGTGGATGAAGGATGGGAATAAAAATGTAGTTGGGGGTCCAATCCAATCAGCTGCAGGCTTCTACTGCGGATCTCGTTCCTGTCTGAGGCAGCCTGTGCTCTAATATGATTCTTATTGCCGTTCAGTGCCAGGACTCCCTACTTTTGGTTCTTGGGCTGATCAGCAGTGGCCCTAATCAGCTCTTTAGGAAGTAGATCAGGAGGCTGGATTTAGTTCCCAAAACAGCTCATCAACACTGTTGCCACTGATGTGACCACCCACATGTTCCCAGTCTCGGCTATTGATCTATACAGTTTGATCTGGGCTTCCACTGAAGTGTCAGAAACAAAACTGAGTCTGCATATTGCACAGTTGTTACACAACCAGATTGTATCGCCCGCACTGGAAAATCTGATTGCAAATGATTGCGATCTTCATAAGTGCAATGGTAGCACAATTTCCGTGGAAGCATCCTCTGTGATCTTACCGGATGAGGATTTATACACCATTGGGAGCAGTTATGCCATGCGGAAGAACTCACTAGAAAAAGCAATTATGCTTGGATTGGTTAGCGGCAAAAGGAAACCAGGCCGCTAAAGAACACGGTGGCTAGACACCATAAAATTCTACAGCAACCTGAGCATGGAATGACTCAAACAAACAGTACAAGATCGGAAAACGTGGAGAGAGCTGGCCCATAGAATCGTCAAGAGTCTGACACAACTGAATGGCTAACAACAACAACGTTCAAAATCCCAGGCACAATCCAGCCAATGTTCAGCTCATTTTTAGTATGGGAACTGTGCACATGTTTACATCTCTGCCACTGAAAATGATTGGGACTTGAAGGTGCTCAGTTTTGATTGGATCATGCCCTGGTTTTTAAACTACAAAAAAAGAATGCGGGCGTTGTATTGCTGTCAGCAAAAGCTTTTGCTTACCTGCACATTATCCCCCCCCCAATCTCTGTAGTTTGGTGCAGTGCATACTTATTTGAGTACAGGGAGACACGGGAGGAAATCATGGCTTAGTAGTAGAGCATCTGCTTTGCATGTGGGAGGTCCCTGATTCATTCTTCAAGCGAAAAGAATCATGTTGTAAGTGTTGTAAAAGACCTTTGCCTGAGACCCTGGAGAGCCGCTGCCAGTCAGAGGGGGCAGAGACCGCCCTAGATAGACCAGTGGTCTGATTTGGTATGAGGCAGCTTCATGTGTTCAACAACCTTTCCAGCAAGTCATGCACTTTGCTTGTATTATGGCACAGAGTGGTTTGGAGGCCTGAATTGGCCTGATCCTGCCATAGGGAAAGTGGTTGACTTGCTGAGAGCCAGTGTGGTGGTGTGATTGAGGGGGCAGACTCTAATCTGGAGAACCGGGTCTGATTCTCCACTCCTCTTCCACATGAAGCCTGCTGGGTGACGTTGGGCCAGTTACGGTTCTCACAGAACTCTTTCAGCCCCACCTATCTCATGAGGTGTCTGTTGTGGGGAGAGGGAGATATGCTTGTAAGCCGCTTTGAGACTCTTTAAGGTAGAGAAAAGTGGGGTATAAAAACCAACTCCTGCTGCTGCTGACCACCTAGTGTTTTATCAGCAGTATGATTTTATGAGGCATCTGCAGAAATAACCCATGGAGGAAAATGAAGACCTGTGAAAATGGGTACCATTTTGATGGGTAAAATGGTGAAAACCAGGAACACAGGAAGATAAAAATAGCTAGTTCATTTTTCTCTACACATGTCATTTTTAATCATTGTGCCAGGTAGTCTTACAAATGCAGCTGTTGAGAAGGTAATTTTATTATATAACTGTATTTAAATTGATAATGGACTCTCTGGACTAGTTCTGTTCCAGAATTCTTGTACTAGAGGATTTGAATGTGATTTAGTCTACATCTATGGATCAAGAGGTGTGTGGGTATTTTGGACCAAGGGGTTTAGAACCAAAAAGAGAGAGAAAGGTTTGTTTTGGGATGTAAAAGCCCAGGATGTCTCAACTGATACCTTGGATTTTTCAAGATTTTTGGAAGTCCATTAACAATCTTAGAGATTTGTCAAAGTTACTTTCAGTGAAAGGGATTCTGCAAAGTGAAAAGCTCATATGTAAAAATCTTGTGCTATAAAATGATGGATTTTTTTTCCACTGTGGAAATATTGTCATTTTTATTTTATTTTTTAGCCCCGTCAATGTGCATGACATTTTAGACAGGTTGCTGCCTCTGGGATCTTGCAGTCTAAAATTTGGCATAGGGAAGAGGAGGAAAATGTAAGTAGCATAAACAGGGGAAAAGATGTTTGTTCCAGTTACACAGGCACTTACCCTTAATTTTAGTAGGGAGACAAGAGTGTGCTGAAGTTTATATTTTATTTTACAGCTTTAGTTTGTTATATAAAAAGTGGTCTGTCAAGTTCTTCATCATTACTTATTGGCTGACTTCCTGTGATGTCATGGAAAGTTCATGAACATTCTGACTGTTTGGTGAAGAAGTCAGGGCTGATTCATATGTTCTCTTTTCAGTTTGGTGTTGCTGTTGTATATATCCTAAAGATGGCACTATGCTTAGATATGGCCTCCACAAACACATGATCCTATCCCATAGAGACAGACTTATAAGTCAAAAACAAATGCAAGTTTTATCTCTGAAATAACAAAAATAGGTCTTAGTGGACTTCCAGCCTCTGGCCCCAATAAAATAAACTACACTTTACTGGTTGCTCTCTAAAGAATCCTGTCCTCATAAATTAGGAGAAATAAACAACTTCGGTGCTTGTCTTTACTAATCAGAAGGAAAAAAATCATGGCTAGAACTCGACATATTTTAATGGACTAGACAAATATATGCATTCATCCTTAAGTTTATTATTATTTATTTTTATTTACAAAATTTGTATCCTGCCTTTCTGTCCTTACAAGAGCCACCAAGGTGGTTAACAATTTAAAACACACATGGTAAAGTTACATTTTAAAACCTTTAAAATCAAACCCCCCTCCTAAACACACATCTTTAAAACAATTAGAAAACGGAATTAAAAAGCATCATTGAAATACATACAAAACAGTTAAAGTACATACAGAACATAAAAACATTGTTTAGGAAAGAGGGATCGTTGAGGGAATTGCCAAACAAAACAAAACAAAAACAGTCTTCACCAACTTATTTAACAACAAACCATTGAAATTAAAAAATCAAAATAATGTCATTCTAAAATCAGACCTAGGTTAAAAGCCCCATTAAGTAAGCTACTCTGGGTCCCTGCGGGGGGAAAAACCAGGATATAAAGCCATTCGCCCGAAAGATAGGGTTGCCAACAGTTCTGGAGAAAACTAACTAATTGGTTGGTTAATTGTATGGGGATTGTTTAAATTGTATAATATGTTCTTAGCTATGTTTTTATCTGCAAGATTGCTTGCCTTGTAAGCCGCCCTGAGCCCTACGGGGGAGGGCGGGATATAAATTCGATTAATAAATAAATAAATAAATATCCTGCCCCTTTAACAGAGGCTTAATGGGATGTTACCAAGTGATGTTACTTACCTCCATGCCGTGAAAAGCTTCAGGTGCAGATTTCCACAAGTTAAGCCTCTGTTAACGGGACAGGAGACTTTTCTCCAGACCTGTTGCTAACCTTAGCCCCAAACAGTAACTGTAACATAACAGCAATAGTGCAAACACTATAATAGGCAGAGAACCAGTTTGGTTGCATGGTAGGGGTCAGGGTGCTGAACTGGGCCCAGGGATATCTGGGCGCAGATCTCAACTCGGCTATGAGTCTTCATTTGTGCAAATGGACAACCCTCCCTCTAATGATCTGCCTAAGTTCAAAGAATCAGCATTGCTGTCAGATGGCCATCTAGCCTCTGTTTGAAAACCCCCAAAGAAGGAGAGCCTACCACCTCCCAAGGAATCCTGTTCCACTGAGGAACCGCTCTGTCAGGAAGTTCTTCCTAATGTTTAGCCGAAAACTCTTCTGATTTAATGTCAACCTGTTGGTTCTGGTCCAACCTTCTGAGGCAACAGAAAAGAACTCTACACCATCCTTTATATGACAGCCCTTCAAGGACTTGAAGATGGTTATCATGTCACCTCTCAGTCATCTCTCCAGGCTAAACATACCCAGCTCCTTGGTCTCCAGACCCTTCACCATCTTCGTTACCCTCCTCTGGACATGTTCCAGCTTGTCTATATCTTTCTTAAATTGTGGTGCCCAAAACTGAACGCAATACTCTAGGTGAGGTCTAACCAGAGCAGAGTAAAGTGGTACCATCACCTCGCGTGATCTGGACACTATACTTCTGTTGATACAGCCCAAAATTGCATTTGCCTTTTTAGCAACCGCATCACACTGCTA